ACCCTAAACCCTAAACCCCCAACCCTAAACCCTCACGACAAAAGGCATTGCGGAGCCTAAATCCTAAACCCTAAACCCTAAACCCTAAATCCTAAACCCTAAGCCCTAAACCCCAAATCCTAAACCGGGGAGGTCCCACAAGGTTTCGGAGGCCCCAAACGGCCAAAGGGCCAAGAAGGCCCGGGCTAGAAGGCGCCCAAAAACCCCGGGCCCCGGTTAGGGTTTAGGGTTTAGGGTTTAGGGTTTAGGGTTTAGGGTTTAGGGTTTAGGGTTTAGGGTTTAGGGTTTAGGGTTTAGGGTTTAGGGTTTAGGGTTTAGGGTTTAGGGTTTAGGGTTTAGGGCTTAGGGTTTAGGGCTTAGGGTTTAGGGTGAAGGCTTCAGGGTTACCCCCCCACATGGCTCCCCCCCCCCCTCCCCGCCCAAGAAAATGAATTGCGAATCTCAGTTCCAGAAGCAAAGCTTCGGTCAAGTCTTTCGGGTTTAGGGTTTAGGGTTGAGGGTTTAGGGTTTAGGGTTTGAGACCCAAACCCTATGCAATTTCTATAAGCCCCAAGCCCTGAACTCTCTAAAATGCATGAGGGTTTGTGGTTAGAGGTTTAGGGGCTCCTCATCCTAATCCTGAACCCTTTCAAGCGCCCAAGCCCCTCAACCCCCTTCCACAAGAGCAACCCCCACACAAACTACCCCATGATGCCCTCAACCACCCGAAGCCCTAAACCCTAACCCCTAAACCCTCAACCCTCAACCCTAAACCCTAAACCCTAAGCCCTAAGCCCTAAACCCTAAACCCTAAACCCTAAACCCTAAACCCGAAACCCTAAGCCCTAACACAAAACCCTAAACCCTAAACCCTAAAGATCAGGAGAGCTGCGAGGGCGGCGACAGCGAAGTAGAGGAGCTTGACTCAGTCCATGGTCTCGAAGGTTAGGTGCAGAATTTGGGATTTAGGGTTCAGGGCTTAGGGCTTAGGGCTAAGGGTTCAGGGCTTAGGGCTTAGGGCTAAGGGTTTAGGGCTTAGGGCTTAGGGTTCCAACCAAAACCCTAAGCCCTCAACCCTAAACCCTCAACCCTCAACCCGAAACCCTAAACCCTAAACCCTAACCCTCAAGGGGGCTCTGAACCCCGCAAGCCGCAAGCCGCAAGCCGCAAGCCTCCCATAGGAGCCGGGATCCACCTCCTCGGCCTCTGGGGACACATGGCTTCAAGCTTCCGAGCCCTCAGAAGGCGGGGGAGAAGCCGCAAGCCTTAAATCCTTTAGGGTTTAGGGTTTAGGGTTTAGGGTTTAGGGTTTAGGCCCTTCAGCCCTAAAATCCTTGAACCCCTAAAGCCCTTACACCCTCAAACCCTCAACCCTTAAGCCCGTCAGCCCTGACACTCTTGAACCCTTAAACCCTTCAACGCTCAAACCCTTAAACCCCAAAACCCTAAAACCCTTAAACCTTCAACGCTTAAGAATGGGGGTTTATGAAAATAGGGGTACCCCTTTTATACCCCAAATTTAATAGAATCCCCTACAATGGACCCCAATTATCGTAAACTCCCAAAGGAGCTCCGAAAGGGGGAATCCTAACCCCTGAAGCCAGAGCGATTGATGCACAGATTCCAGAGATGACGGTTCCTCTACCTCCTCCAGCTGCTGGGTTAAGTTAAGTTTTGGGGTTTGGGGTTTAGGGTTTAGGGTTTAGGGTTTAGGGTGTAGGCCAGTTTGCATGCAGGGCGCATTTCGGTCAAGAGAGGGATGGACGTAACCCGGAACCCTTTTAGGGTTTAGGGTTTAGGGTTTAGGGTTTAGGGTTTAGGGTTTCCGGTTTAGGGTTTAGGGCTCAGGGCTTAGGGGAGCTGGGCCTTAGATGCTGAGATTCTTCTGAAACCCCAAGAGCCCTAAACCCCAAGGGCCCCCTTAGCTTCCCAAAAGCCCCCGACGGGTTCTTCAGCCCGGAGCCCCTACACCCCACACCCCGAACCCTCAAAGTTTAGGGTTTGGGGTTAGGGTTTGCCGTTTAGGTGTAGGGTTTAGGGTTTAGGGTTTAGGGTTTAGGGTTTAGGGTTTAGGGTTTAGGGTTTAGGGTTTAGGGTTTAGGGTTTAGGGTTTAGGGTTTAGGGTTTGGCTCCCAAAGAACTTTGGCGTGGGTCCTTCAATCCGAAAAATCCGGAGAGACGTCGGGGGGTGTCGGATACCTTAAACCCTAAACCCTAAACCCACAAGATCTAGGGGGTTGGGATCTCAGGATTCAGGTGGAACCCTGGACGCCCAAAACCCCAAACCCCAAACCCTGCACCCGAAACCATAAACCCCTAACCCCAAACCATAAACCTCTAAACCCCTAAACCCCTAAACCCCTAAACCCCTAAACCCCTAAGCCCCTAAACCCCTAAACCCCTAAACCCCTAAACCCCTAAACCCCTAAACCCCTAAACCCCTAAACCCCTAAACCCCTAAACCCCTAAACCCCTAAACCCCTAAACCCCTAAACCCCTAAACCCTAAACCCTAAACCCTAAACCCTAAACCCTAAACCCTAAACCCTAAACCCTAAACCCTAAACCCTAAACCCTAAACCCTAAACCCCAAACCCTAAACCCTAAACCCTAAGCCCTGCACCCTGAACCCTGCACCCCAGGCCTCCGGGCTTGAGCCTGACTTCACCTCTAAGGGTGGTTTCATGGGTTCCTGCATATGGTCCCTTGCCTTCTTTAAACGGTTTGGGGTTTAGGGTTTAGGGTTTAGGGTTTAGGGTTTAGGGTCTAGGGTGACGTGTGGGGTCTTGGATTCTGTAGGGCATATACTTGGCGGGCCGGTGGACTTCGTAAGTAGATATGATATTCAGTATGCTCTAAAGGGGACCCTAAAAGGGACCCTAATTGCAGTTATCCTACTTCTAACTCCATTGGATAGTAAGTAGACTTATAAGTACCCTAAACCCTAAACCCTAAACCCTCATTGCAGTTATCCTACTGCTAACTCTATAAGATACCTACTTGCGAAGTCCTCTGAACACACAAGAAAGGGGTACATAAGGGGTCCCCGTTTCAGGGCCATCCCCAAGATTCACCCTACACCCTAAACCCTAAACCCTAAACCCTCAACCCTCAACCCTCAACCCTCAACCCTTCAACCCTCAACCCTTCAACCCTTCAACCCTTCAACCCTCAACCCTCAACCCTCAACCCTCAACCCTCAACCCTCAACCCTCAACCCTCAACCCTCAACCCTCAACCCTCAACCCTCAACCCTCACCCCGCAACCCTCAACCCTCAACCCTCAACCCTAAACCCTACCCTAACCCTAACCCTAAACCCCCTAAACCCTAAACCCTAAACCCTAAACCCTAAACCCTAAACCCTAAACCCTAAACCCTAAAACCCTAAACCCTAAACCCTAAACCCTAAACCCTAAACCCTAAACCCTAAACCCTAAACCCTAAACCCTAAACCCTAAACCCTAAACCCTAAACCCTAGCGCTCCGGGGCTTGAGCGCGACTACATCCAAGGCTCTAGCACCTGCAGCTCCTTCGACTCCAGTTCTGACGAGTCGGAGGTGACTGGGAGTAAGGTTTAGGGTTCAGGGCTAGGAGTTTACGGATTAGGGTTAGGAGTTTAGGGTTTAGGGTTAGGAGTTGAGGGTTTAGGGTTAGGAGTTTGGGGTTGAGGATGGTAGTGTTTGGGTTTAGGAGGTTAAGTTGAGGAGGCTTGAATTTAGGAGGTTAGGGTTGAGGAGTGTAGGAGATAGGCAGCATTTCAGGGACGCTAACTTCTCATGCGAGTATGTTACCAACAGTTGTTTTTTTTGGTTGGGGGGGATAGTTCTTTTTGTTGTGAAGTCCCGGTTTTGTTTAGGTTCCAGGGGTTAGGGTTGAGGGTACAGTTTGGGGGGTTAGGAGGAGGGATTTGCGCAGGGCGTGTGGGGTTGAGGGTCGAGAGGCTTGGGGTTTAGGGTTTTAGGGTTTCAGGGTTTGGGCTCACGGGATGTCTTGGGATTTATGGTTTCAGTGCTTGTTCAGGGTTAAGGGTTAATCAAGTGTTTGCTTAGGGTTTGTTGGGTTCCGTCTTCGGAGGAAGACCCACAGTGCCGTGGTGTCCAAGATGCGTGCAGGACTTTACCGTTTTTTTAGGGGACTCAATGCTTTTGAGACTTTGGGGTGGGGTTGACACTGAAGCCTTAAAACCCTCAGCCCTAAACCCTAAACCCCAAACCCCAAACCTTATAAACCCTAAACCCCAAACGACTGCGCCGGCTGACCCTGGCTCCTCCAGAAGCTGGTGCTGCCCTGCCGGCGGCCGCGTCCGGGAGGCGGGGGGAAACCATCTCGGGCATGCAGCTGGCAAGACAGCGGACGTCTGCGCCCATGAGCAGGTCACAGAGGAGCCCAAGTCGATGGTGCGCCTGTTTCCGGGTAATTACGACTGGGCCAGCACGTCAACTGGCTCCCTCCGCGGGCGCGCCCCTGGTTTTGTAGCCCCCGCTCCGCCGGTCTCAGGCCGTGCCCGGGGTGCGTTCCCCGGGACGCCCTTGGCGCTCGGCGCGCCCCATGGCGCACTCGGCACCATGGGTTAGCTTCCACAGCTGCGGACCACACCATGCACACGCCGTCCTGCACGTGGGCCTCCACACACTACACAGTCTTGTGCACTGCACTCTTTATTGCTGCTTGCGTTCGGGAACATAGGGCCTGCCTCGGCTCTGGGGACTTGACCTTTTCATGTCAGGCTTGACTTTTCTTTTTTTTTTTCTCCTCGGCTGCGTCAGTTTGAGGAACTTTCAGTATTTCAAAAAGAGCCAGCAAAGATGGCACAACCTGCAGATGGAAGATCAGTGCATTGAGCCCATTCCTATCTCTACTGGCAAAGAGTCTGTGGTCAAGACAACCGCCACCCAGTCCCGTCTCGTTGCCCGAGCCCGTCGACATGGATGGGCGCAGCCTTGACTCTTCCAACGCGGACTTGGAGCAGCGAGCGCTGAGGTTTGGCCTTGCTAGCGGAACGGGTGCGAGGGCGGTTGCATGCCCAGCCCCGGCTGCAGCGGCTGCAGCAGCGGCCGGAACAATCCTCGTGCTCCTCCTCCACAATCCCGCCCAGACCAAGCCAGCCGCTCCGGTTCCCGGCGTGGCTGTCCACTGGAGACGGTTATGACGCTCGGTCGCGGTCGCCAGGGGAGCGGCGGCATCGACTCTGAGCAAGCCACTCTTGCACTAGTTTTTGCGCGCAGCCAGAACCACGCCGGCACTACGCGGGTCCATACGGCTTCTGATCCGGACGGAAGAGGAGGTAGGTTGCGCGAAATGCAGAGGAACCCTCCACTGCGCATTCCCTCCACAGCCGCGTGATGTTGAGGAGGCCCCGAAATACGGGTCTCAGAGAACAGCTATGTCTGCTCCTAGGTCAGTGTGGCGCCCAACCCCAGCACACTGGAGAGAGACGCATCGGGTAACCTTGGAGCCCTTCCAAGATGCATCATGGCCAACACATTGATCCCAGGAGGACAGAGCCACCAAGGATCCCACATGCGTCTGAATCGGGGTGCATGGTGTACCTGGCAGTCCGCCTACAGCCACATACGCTTAAGCCAACAAAGTAAGAAACAGCACAGCTGAGCAGCACGTGGGCACAAGGATGTGTACGCTGGGGATTGGTCACATGTTAGCTACGGGCTGCTTGCCACGGACAGATGCTGCGGGTTCCTGGGCTCTACGGCCCCACTGGAGCATCCTTGCCCAACTTGGCACAGGATCCACATGCGCTGCGTCAGGAAGAGGACCTTGTAAGGACCTCACAGGGCAAGTTGAACAAGCCCAGGAGTGGGACTGGTCGCTGTTGGTGATGGGAGACCTCAATTCCTTCTGCGATGGGCGCGTTGCCTGGCAGGTACGTGACGAGTGCCTGGCCAAAACAGTGTCTCGATCTGGAGTTCATTGCCTCGCAGTCCACCTCCCTGAAAGCACCTGAACCGAAGGGCGGCGAAGGAGACCAGCTTACCACGGAAGCGTCTGTTGAAGCTGGTGACTAGCCCATCCGTCCCTCGGCTTCAACAGCAAGTCGCACGCAGCGTGGAGCAACGCTCGACCTTACTCCACTCTCGCCCGGTACTTCAGGCGGCCTCCGTGGACCTGCTGCAGCTCAAACGCGGCTGGAACGGTCCAGGATGCGGTCCCCACCAAGCCCGCTGCGCCAGGAATATCGAAACATGATTGTCCACTCCCACGAGAAAACATTTTGACCCCCTCGAGAACGCTGGTTCTTGTTCAGATGTCACAGCTACGCTTGTAGCAGCCGGTAGCAGATGGCGGCAAGGACTACACCAACTTGCCAAAACTCAAGCAGTTCGCGTGCAACTCCCGGACTGGGGCCAGTTTTATTCCAACAGGGCCAGATGGCTGTTAGCCCTGCGGCGTGCCGACGAACCGACCGTGCGACCAGTGCCTATGTGTGAGGGCCCGCGCCCTCCCATACGCCCTGACAACCTCTGCCTGGCAACGTCTATTCACCCCACCTCAGCAGCCCTGGAGTCACCCGCTAGTCCACACTTGTCACCCACCAGTCCACTTGGAGAGACGCAACGGCCGAGGAATCAGCGCTGAACGGGATGGATCTGGGCACAAACTGCTCCCGCAGGTGCAACCCGCCATCGTCAGTGGGACCGTTGTCTTTCTGGGGGAAAGACGCAGGTGGCAAACCAAAATGGGCAGCTCGCGCCCCGGGCCTTCTGGATGCAAAATGCAGTTCTTGACCTTCTTCCCTGAATGGGTGCGGGATATCCTCTGGCTCTTGCTGGACGTACAGCGGCAGCGCGGCATTAACCCCTCCGCTCAAGCGAGCTGTGCAGGTGAACCTGGCCAAGCTCAAGGGGGGTTGGCGTCCGCTCACGAAGAGGCCTTCAAAGTTATTGAGGGACCAAGCCGCGTCACCCGTGCACGCTCCGTGGAGTCGGCTGGTGCCGTTTAACTACGCCTACGACAGAAAGCAGTCCGCTGCGGCGGATGTCTTGTGCTTTGAGACCTCGGTCATTGAAGATGCACGGGCGCATTCTCGACCTCTGGCCCGAGTCCCCGCGGACTTTGAGGTTCTTCAATGCCATCAATCTACATCAGGTGTGGATGCAGTTCAACAGGCACGTGGTGCTCCAGACACCGACCCCTTCCTCCGTCTGCGGGAGAGAAGTGATGCCTGCTAGGCGCGTCGCCGTGGCAGGCTTCGGGGACGATGCGGAGCACGACGCGCAGGGCGCCTCTCAACTGCCTCTGCTCCTCCACGAGCATTCCGAGGGCAGCCTCCTGTACAGGGGTGGGACTCTGCTGGGTGCGTTCGCCACGGATTCACGGATTGGGATGCGTTCGCAGCAAGGCTTCACCGACCACGCAGTACCTGTCTCTGGCTACGATGTTTGGACTGGCCTCCTTCGGAATCAGATGCTGCCGTGCTGCTTGCCAGACACCGTGGAAAAGCTGCGGGGCAAGCGTGGCAGTTTTCGCAACCGACATGAACTTGCCTCGGCCGAACCTATGGCAATTCCACAAGCGCCTCACACGCGAAAGCCTGAGCTGGGACGAGGTAGTCATGGCGGTGCAACTTCATGTAGCCGGGTACATCAATTATGCGCCCCTTGTGGGCTTCATCGCTTTGACGCAGCCCTTCAGCAGCTGTGCGAGCAACAGCCGAATGTGCTGGGTGGCGGGGTTCAGTTCCTGTCCGCGGTGGAGACCCTCGTCTCCGCAGTCGTAGCGGAATTGCTGCGTTTACTCACTTCCACTTCCTTGGCGGAACAAATGGCCCGTGATGAGCTATGCCAGCGTGCTGGAACCGGCGCAAGTGGAGCATCACCAAGGTATCATCGTGCAACCCCTCCGATCCTTGGCGGGTTAGCGTGGACCACACAGTCGGTAGTATTTTAGATGCCCTTGCAGCATCCTCATGCCGACCCGTGCGGTTCTGTCGGGTAGGCCGACGTGCCAATGCTGTTCGTACTGCTGTCAATACCTTGTGCCGCAGAGGCCTGAATGCCCGTACTTGGAGTGATCCTGCGGTGTGGGATGCGCTGCCTCCAGAGTCTGGTCTCACACGGGCCGCTTGTGCTGCTGCTGCAGCAGCAGCGTGGGCCAAAGCACAAGCGGATTGGACTATAGAATGCAGCGTCTTTCAATGTCCTCTTCAATTGGATATCCCCGCAGACAAAATTCCCTCAGCTTGGGAGAATCCTACCGACGGCAGTGCGGAGCCTCGCTCGCGGCGTCTTGACCAAAGGGTCCCCGTCCTTCAAGAGGAAACAGAGATTGGACTTCTCGCAGATGGTGTGGCCAATCGTTCTGATCGTTACTTTCGCGTGTCAGGCAAGTGCATTCCACCAGGCACATGATTGGGATAATTCTGGTCTTGCGCGTGAGCAGATTTGCCGTAAGCTGCCCGTTCGCGATGGCTGGGAACACTGATGTTCACACGGCGGAACTTGCAGTCTTCTAGCAGTCCTTCGGTGGAGAAGGCCTGGCTCCTGGACCCCGGTTGTGCTCGACAGGAGTTCGCTCTTTCCACTTCTCCAGCTTGGCAGTTACCGGCCTCCTTCCTTTCCTAAGCCGTCTGCGGCGGTCATTTTGGAATTTATTCAGGCCTGGAATGGCCACGCACTGCCCCCCCGCTGGCGGCAGGACCAGGATCAAACATGCAACCCAGGCCGTTGGGAGGCTATTTATGATGTGGGCTGTCACGTTAAGCCTTCGGGCCGGAAGTGGCGTCCTTGTTAGGCCAGGCTCGTGCCTCGGTCCATCCACTCAACTCCCTAAACCCCCAACCCCACACCCCAAACCCTAAACCCTTAGCCCTAAACCCCGGAAGCCGGGCGCGTCATTGCCAATACTACTCCTTTTTGTGCCCTTTCATATGTCTCACATAAACTGCCCAAAGCACCCAAACTCCAACCCTAAAACCTGTTCTAGTTCAATGGAGCCCCATACTATTCCATTCCACGCTCGCTCTGCGCGGGTACGCGGGCAGGAGGAGGAAGAGGAAGAAGCCGAGCTTCAAGAGGAGGTCGTGCCAGGACATTTGGTTAGGGGGTTCTGCCTTTCGGGGTTGCGTGGTCTCTTCTCTCGACTTTGGGGTCGCTATAAAAAGCCGGCTTCAACAAGAGCCATGGTTTTTCTAGGGCCCCCAAACCTACACCAGAACACCCTAAACCCAACCCAACCCTAAGAGGCAGGCCCCCCCCAAAATGCCCTCACTGGTCAGTACAGCAAGGGTGTATAGTTCGAAGAAGACCGTCGGCTCGATCGGTTGGGTGCCTGCGGCACGCAGGCCCCGGACCCCATACCCCAAATGTTGGGATGTTCCCCTGTATTCAAGCAGTCCTTAATGGGATCTTTGTACCCCCTATTATTATCCCTATTCGGGACTGTCAGAATAAGGGGGAGCATCCCAACCCAAAGCTGCGCCCCAAAAACGCCCCTAAACCCCCCAAACCCCGTGAGCCCCGTATGTAGACGCTTAGAGCCCCGGTAGATCCCTCAAATTTCAAAGAGACCTGTAGTGGCCTAAGTTTAAACCCTGAACCCTAAACCCTAAATTCTATATAAGTCCTAAACCCTAAACCCCAAACCGTAAAAGAAGCGGAGGAGGCCAGCAGGACGACGAAGAAGCCGAAGACCGAGAGCCACAGATGGACGACGAGCGCCAAGAGGAGGAGCGCTTTTCTGGTTTCAGGGCTTCTCGAAGTCCTAAACCCGAAGCACTAAGCCCTAAACCCAAGCCCTAAACCCTAAACCCTAAACCTTGAACCCTAAACCCGAAACCCTAAGCTCTCTTACCCATATAATCCCACACACATAAACCTTAAACTCTTAGTCGGCATAGGCGCAACGGTTCGCCGGCACAGGCACGCCTCTTGACTTCTCAATTAGGTAGGCGCAACCGTGCACGACGGTTTGTCGGCGTAGGCGCAACGGTCGTCGGCATAGGCACACCCAGGCAAGTCCAAGTGGGTCCTGAGAGGGGGTCTAGGGTAGGAGGGTAGGGTCAGGACCCAGGCTTTCGGGTTCAGGGTCTAGGGTGCTTGAGGCAGTGCGGTGTAGGGCCCTAGGGTATGTATGGAGTCTAAGGCTTATGGATTGAGTGAACTTTATATTTTCTTAATGTGGTGGGCTTTAAGTGTTTCTTTGCTCCGGGTGCCCTGCAGCCGATGTCCGAGCACGGAAGGCGGGAGAGCGGAAGGGCGTGAACAGCAGAATTTCTCGGTAAACCCTCAAACCCAACAAACCTTCATCGGGTGAAGGTCAGGTGTGGCGAACGCCTGCGCCGCCCTCACAGAGTCGAGCCGTTCAAAGTTCCCCGGTACACCCCAAAC